ACATGCAATATTCAAAATGTGGGTTTACTATGGATTTAAACAGGCAATATATTTTGTCTTATCTATTCCTTTCCTAATGATTCCCAACATTGTTAGCTTTTTTGACTGCATATTTATACATAACTGAGTAATAGTTAATTTAACCTACACTACAGATACTATTTGGGGTAGCCGTGTTAGTCTGAATCTCTAAAAAGCAACAGAGGGTCCTGTGGCACCTTTAAGACTAACAGAAGTATTGGGAGCATAAGCTTTCATGGATAAGAACCTCACTTCTTCAGATGCAAGTCACCCACAAAAGCTTATGCTCCCAATACTTCTGTTAGTCTTAAAGGTGCCACAGGACCCTCTACTACAGATACTATTTCCCACACCCCTCAGAAGCTGTGCAGAGGCTTGGGGGAGTCAGGATTAATGGAGGAGCTGAGGGAAAGAGAAGTAACTGCTGGGAAGCAGCCTGGGAGTGAACTTGGACAGTTGTGGGTGGGTGGGTGGGAGGGAGAAGTATGGAACAGATTTTTTTTTGGGGGGGGGGAAGAGGAGAGATTGTTCAGGAGCTTCTCCCCCTGCAGACCCTGGCTGACCCATTCAGTCAGGCATATAAGCCCCTGTGTCCCTCACCCCTTCGTCCCTCACCTCTTCTCCCCATATCCCTATACCCCACTCAGCTACCCCCTATCCCCATGTAGCCTTGCACCCCCACTCTGCCCCAGCTGAATGCTGTCACCTCACTAGCTCCAGTCTGTCTCTCTCTCCTCCCCCCCCCATTAACCTTTCTGGCCCCTAGTCTGTGACTCCTCCCCTCCCCCCAGCACACCCTGTAGTCCCCACTCTGTCCATCCCTCCTCACATGGGTCCCAGGAGCACGGCACTGTGGGGAACTAGCCTCTCCCCAGCAGGCTGCTCCACCTGCCTTGTTCTAGCACCACAGCAGCCTCTGGTGGGCGGAAGGTGTAATTGCAGCACCTCCCCTGGAGAACATATTTTCTGCAGGGGACTCTGCAGGTGCGCAGTGACTCACAGGGCCCTCACCAGAAATAAGACTTCAGCAGTTATCAAACTTCATTAAAACAACAAGGTGTCCAGTGGCACCTTAAAGACTAACAGATTTAGTTGGGCATAAGCTTTCGTGGGCAAAAAACCTATTTCAGCTTTGTGCCACCAGACTTCTTGTTTCTGTGGCTACAGACTAACACGGCTACTCCCTGATACTCGCACTTCATTGCATTGCAACCCTCTGGTGGGGGTAGAGCCCGAGTCCCAGCTGAAGCCCGTTGCTTCTGCTCAAGGCCCAGTCCCAGCCTGTCTCACGCTGGCTCTGGTGACCGCATTACAATGAACTCGTGACGCACTTAGGGGTCCTGACCCGCACTTTGAGAACTGCTGCTAGACAAAGCTGCTCTGTGACAGGGGCCAGGGCTGGAGCTTTACAATCTCCAAGTGGCCCCAGCCCCTGCGCGGCTCGTCCAGGGGCAGCCGCATGCGAGCCGTCCGGGGAGTGGTGCCCGCGCCGCAGGGCCAGGCTGGGAGCGGGCCCCATCGCAGACCGGCGGGCGGGGGCCGGGCCCGTGCCCCACCCGCCCGCGCGGCAGGGAACGTGGCTCGTGTGGGGGGAGTCTGGCCCCATCCCTTTAAGGCGTTACGTGTAAGCTCTAGCCAGCCCCCGAGAGAGGCGAGGCGGCGGGGGGCGTCTCCGGACCCTTTCCTGTCGGCGTGTAAGAATGCCTGTTAAAGGGGAGGTGCCCCCCTGGGGGAGACTGCGGCCAGTACCGGGCTTGTCTTCCCTTTGCCTTTAAGTTCCATTTCTTGTCGGAGGGTAGCTGTGTGGCTCGTCCAGACACACCATGGCCTCGGCCGCCGGGCTCTGGCTCCTGCTGCTGCTGGCCCCGGGCAGCGCCTACTTCCCCGAGGAGCGGTGGAGCCCGGAGTCGCCGCTGCAGGCGCCCCGGGTGCTGATCGCGCTGCTAGCCCGGAACGCGGCGCACTCGCTGCCGGCGGTGCTGGGGGCCTTGGAGCGGCTGCGGCACCCGAAGGAGCGAACGGCGCTGTGGTGAGAGCCGCCCCCGGGCATCCCCCCCCCGCGGCATCCGCCCCCGGCATCCCCGCCCAGTCCCCCCCTTGCGGCATCATCCCCCCCTAACCCCCCCCTCGCGGCATCATTCCCCCCCTAACCCCCCCGTCGCGGCATCATCCCCACCCAGCCCCCCCTCGCGGCATCCGCCTCCCCCGGGCATCCCTGCCTAGTACCCCGGACATCATCCCTGCCTATATCCCCCGCCCCTAGGCATTCCTGCCCAGCCCCTGCAGGACCCCCATCTCTGGGAAGCGCCCACACACACTAGCAGGACACACCCACCGACGGCAGGACTTTCTCCCTCACCCCTGCCACCCAGGTCCCTAGGATCTCCTTGGCTTCTCTCCACACATACTTGTTCCCTTCCCTGGCAGGAGCTGATGGGGCTTGGGACCCGCCTGGGATGTCCTCTCCCTGCTGCTCTGGGGGCTGGTGAGATTCAGGCAACTTCCTTTCCCTGCTCCCCGCAGCCCCATGCTGGGGGCCTGGGGCCTTTCCTGAGCACAGACAGGATCCTAGTGAGACCCCGGGCCAATCTGGGTATCGTTGGATAGGAGGGCCCTGTTACCTTTTCTAGATTGCTGATTAGCACTTTAAAGCCACCTTGGCCCCAGTGAAACACTTGCCAACCTGCCCCAAGTGTCTGGGTATTAACAGCTTCATGTGCATGTAGCCGCACTCAGTGCGACTAGAGACACGGAGCAGAACATGGCTGTTACATGGACGAGCTGGGCAGGTAGTGTTGTCAACAGAGAAGGTATCTTCCCCAAGGGATTTAGTACCTACTCTGAAATTCCCACAGGAGCTTACGTTACATCAGGAGGAAAGAAAGGCACTACTGCAAACTCTCTACCACTTTGAGTTAAGTATAGAGTGAGGAAGAGAACTTTTCCTGCCACCTCATGGTGGCTGAAGGAGCGGTCCCAGGGCTCAGTGAGCCCCTTTTCCCTGGCAGATGAATTGTATGCTTGGAAAGAGGAGAGTGAAGGTACGCCCACCCCCATTAGCTAACAGGGTTAAAGACAGCTGTGCATCTCATGTTAGGGATCCATTCTCAACAAGACTGGGTTAGAGTAGGGTGTCTGGGATGCTGATTGCCTGGTTTTCTTCTATTAGGGCAATACCTTGCACTAGAGAGGGTGAGAGAGGACAAGAGGCTCGTGGTTCAATAGGGTATGAGGAGGAGCAGGGTTAGAATGGACAGCCCAGAATTCTGGGAACATGGGGGTCTCTTGTGGGCTGAGTGGAACCTAGAGGGGAAATGGGCAGCTTTGCAGATGAGAAACTATATGAGATGGTGGGATTTACCTCAGACTCTCCTGTAGGGTGTGAGGGGAGGCAGCATGGACCAAGAGTAGGGCTCCGTGTCTGTCATGGGAGGTCTTGGAAGTCACAGATTCAGCCACTTCTGCAGTGGCCAGTGTGGCTGATCTTAGGGCTGCCCATGCAGCTGGCCCTGGAGCCAGCTGTTCAGGCAGCCCTGGGTCAGCCACACCGGCTGCTGCTAGAGTAGTTCTGCAGCCAGGCGCTTGGGCAGTCTCGCAGCCAGCGGCACTGGCCGCTGCTCTGGTGACCCTGGGCAGCTGGCCCCAGGGACCACCTGAGCAGCTGCCAATGCGGCTGGTCCTGGGGCTCCCTCATCCCTGGCAGTGACCGGAGCGGCAGTGGGCCTCCTGGAACTTCCCGCTCTGCCCCCGCCCCTTGTCCCCCCGGGCAGCGGGCAGAGCAATGCCCCATGGGGCTTCCCCCCTCCGATGATGGCGGGTCCCTGGCTTTGCCCCCGCAATGCCCCCTGCCCCAAGATTTAATCATGAGAATTTTTAGTAAAAGTTATGGACAGGTCATGGGGCTGTGATTTTTATTTTTGTTTTTTGCCTGTGATCTGTCTGTTGTTTTTACTAAAGATACTCATGATTAAATCGTATCCTTAACCAAGAGCATTGCTCCAGCTTCCCCTGCAGGGCATGGGGGAAAGCATCAGGAGGGTTCATGTCCCTACTTAGCAGTGTGTCACTGTTGGGTGTTTTTCAGGGTGGCAACAGATCACAACACTGACAACACAACAGCCGTGCTACGAGAATGGCTGATAAATGTGCAGACCTTGTATCACTATGTGGAGTGGAGGCCGATGGAGGAGCCCAGGTGAGACCCTGCTTCAGAGACTGTTACCAGCACCTGGCTAAACTTGCCTGCCAATGAATCTGCATTCAGTGGGAAGAGAGACAGCTGCTCAGGTTTATTGATTTCCTTAGTAAAAGGGTAAATTAAAAGGTTGAATACTTGGTTAAAGGTTAACCTCTGTCATGGGGTAGGCATTGGAAAGGACCTAACTGAGCCCTGTGAAAGACTGCCCCAGGTCCAGGGAGCAGATAGGGTTTGTTGATAATCCTTGTTTCTCTGGGGCATGTGATTTTGTTAAGTTTCATCTTAGCACCACTGAACTCTCAAAGTGAGGATGTGTAAATGACTGAACCCTCTTTCCCCCCCAGCAAGTGCCCTGGCTCCCTTCTAACCACTGGCTTCCTTCCCACCAATGACCTCCCTTGACCTCACAGACATGCACTCAGATAGTGAGACGGGGTGCCAGGGATGGGAGGATGGTTGATGCAGCGTTTGCTCCGGATAGGAAAGTCAAGCTGCCCCATCTTGCAACTGTCAGAAGCCCACCCTGGTCACCCTGCAAATTACTGAACAGAGCCGGTCTCCAAGTGCCATCGAGACTCCCATGTAAATTCTTCAATATTCTCATTTTTTGAATA